AAGTCCAAAAACAATATCGGTATCGGATCGGAAGTGCAAAAACCTGGATCGGGACATCTCTAGTATGAATTGGATAAGATGGTGACGAAACTGGAAGTTGACCCTGCCAATTTTGTGTCAAACAAGAAGGATCTAAATCTATTAATTGTTTCAACAATGGAAACTGACATTTTATAGATCATGATCAACAATTACTTCTGCCATGCAATCCATCTCAGCACCTGAACTTCAGGATGCCTCTAGAATACTAGGACATTGTTTTCTGTCATCTTTTGGGTCCAAAAGCATCATCCTGATCTTCTTCCTTTCTCCATTACTGCACCTTTCTGGTAACAAACATCTCTCCAAGAGTTGCATCAGGTTTCAGCCAAGTCCCAGGTTAGAACCAATACGTCCTGAATACAGCCAGCTGGGGTCGCTCTCTTTGTGGTTTATGGGCTGCCTTTGTTCCATTATCGTTATAAGCAAAACACACTTTGCAAATGGAAATAAAAAAATAAAAAAATTAAAATAGAAGTTTTGAAAAAAAGGATGCAACCTTTGGAGTAGAACATTTAATTGGTTTTACTCCTCTCATCCAAGAGGCTTCTTCAGTTCTAACTTATGGTGGCAAGCACTCAGATTAATATACTGTAGGGGGAACAAAGCATTAGGGGGAAGAAAAGGTGGCTTTGATTCCTCCCACAGGATTGGCCAAGGAGGTCACATGGGTGGTGTTAATTTTCATTAGGGGGTTCTGATGGATTGTTAACTCCCTAAGATGATTTAAAAGCATCTTAGCTTTTCTCTCCAGAGAAAAGCTATAATTGATCTGTATGCACATTGACAACATTTGTATTAGCCAAGGGGTGCGTCAAGATGGAGCATTTGTAATGGGCTTGAAGTGAAGAGGATGTGATCTTTGAAAGACAATTTGAAAAATGTCATCTGAAAATCAGAAATGTGGAGTGAAAATAAAATAACAAATATAAAAATATAAAAAAAAAAAAAAAAAAAAAAAAAAAAAAAAAAAAAAAAACAAGAAAGAAAAACTTGGATAAA